TATTCTCAAAACTATCATAAATCATATCTCAATCAATGTATTCATAACTATTTCATGTGCTTTCTGTCAGGTAGCTTTTACTGTGAGGCATTAACGTCTGGTTCCTATCACCACCACTGGAAACAATTCTGCTTCTCATGATCCAAGTAATCCCAATTATAAGTTTAGACTCAATAGCCCAAAAAATCTCAACATTTCAGATTTTTTTAGTGTTCTAGCGCAAATTGCTTTTTTTGTCAGTATCTTTTTCTCAGTAAGGGCTTCTTAACAGCTACACATCCTTTCAGACTCATAGTGCTGAGTTGTCTTCTCACAGTGGAAGGACGGTGTATTTTTTCAGATAGCAAGTGTGGAGCTTTATTTTCTCAAAGATGGTCGGTGGTCGTCAACCTGGTCCTGTAGATCTACTTTCCTGCAGAGTCTAGTTCCAACTACAATCTGCTACACCTGCTTCAGCTAATGAACTTCTTAAGTCTCTGACTGGTTGGATCAGATACATTCATGTTAATTAAGGGCAGGACAGGATGTTAGATGCAAGTTGGATGTAAACTCTGTAGGAATGTAGATGTCCAGGAAAGGGGTTGGTGATCACTGCTTTAAGTACTGTTTTCAATCTTTTGTTTTGGTGGTCTACAAGCTCTTGCATGGTTATTAGGAGTCTCGTTTTTTCTGTATTCAACTATGTTTTGAAAACTCCTGACTTTCCTTGACTTTCTCCTTTCTTATGCAAGTGTCTTATATCTAACCTCTTCACCTCTTCAGAAATATCTCCTCCTAGATGCACATTTGAAAGAAATTTGCAAGGCAGCTAAGTTGTGTTTGTGTAGTTCAGAGGTGCACAACCCAGGTCCTGGACAGCCAGTGTCTAGCACAGTTTACCAACCCCCCTACTCAAACACTCCCACTAAACCTGGCAATTAACGGATGAGTTGAATTAGATGTGTTCACGCAGGGAAGTCACTAAACTGTGCTGGGCTCCTGGCCTTCAGGACCAGAGTTGTCCACCCCTGGTGTAGCTGCTTGTGAGTCATGCTGTCTGTTTGAAGAGGGACATAATGTCAGTGAGTCCTTTGGGAACAGCTTCTGGTGGGAGGACACAGCTGTAACTCGTTGGTTGGAAAATTGGAAGGATGGGAGAATTAAAGTGGCAATAGAGAGCACAAAAGTAAGGAGTGGATGAATTAAATACTGATAGATTTAATATTATACTTAGTGTTCAAGGCCTTTATGTGATTTCCTGTTAAATAGGGAAAATTTCCTGTTTCTTACTTTTTCTGGCACTGAAAAATGAATAACTTGTATTTAAAGGTGCAGTGTTAAGATTTGGGGACATCTACTAACAGAAAAGGAATATAGTATACAAAAACCATTTTTCATTAGTGTACAATCACCTGTAACTAAATCGTTTAGAATGAGCCCTCATATCTACATAGGGAGCGGGGTCCTTTTCCAACAGAGGCTGCAATGTTATGCCGCCATGTTTCTACGGTAGCCCAGAACGGACAAACCAAACACTGGCTGTAGAAAGTGACTTTTACGTTTTACGCGGAAGTGGCAGCTTGAATTTAGTGCACTGAACTACAGAACTGGTAGGAAGACGAAGAAGAAACAGTGGTTGCTGCTGGTGCTGCCTAACCATTTTGTGTTGTGAGAAGTTTAAGAACTCAAACTCTGACAAATGTTGGCTCGTACTTATTATTTAGCACAAGAAAAGGCGAGAGGGTGAATCCTCGTCGTCAAACAAACAAAAAAGTGAAGCAAAACAAAATCAGCACAGGCAACAGCAGAAAATCTGACGACCACCGTAGGTTCTACCACATGTTTAGAAAGGGAGGGGTGAGGGAGGGGTATTCGGTTGGTTGTAATCTGCAGTCTCACCACTAGATGCCACTAAATCTTACACACTGCACCTTTAATGGCCATTTTTGACTGGAAAGTAAATAAACAAGATGTTGGTCTGTAACTTTTGCACAGCACTATAACATTGCAGGTATTTAAGTTAAGCTGTACTAGAACAATGGAATGAGGAAAGTGTGTAGAAAAACTGCTCAAAACACCTGTCAAGCACGGTGACAAGGGCATGCATGGCTGCCAGTGGAACAGTTTCATTTGTCTTTATTGATGATGTTACAGCTGACATCAGCAGCAGGACAAATTCGGAAGCATCCAGAAGCATCTTAACTACTCAGATCCGACCAAATGCTTCAGGACTGAATATGTCTGCTGCAGACGTGAGCGGAATATGTCCATCAACACAATGTGAGGAATTTACATCAAGTGGCAGGTGGCTGAGTTCCTCATTCCGCCTCCCATAGGCAAATCCAGTCAATCACACGGCTCATCTCAGAGGGAGAGAGCGAGAGAGAGAGAGAGAGAGAGAGAGAGGAAGGAAATGAAAGAAGGGACAATGATAATGAAGCAGTGAGGAAGAGACATGTTCATCCATCTCTAATTCTGCATCAGTTCATTAGCAAGACACTATGTTAGCATGAGTGGACAGCAGAAGTCACCTTGGCTTTTCTCCTCTCTGTAACTTGCTCAGAGGGCATATGTGCCCAACACCTCTGATATACAATCAGTCTTTGCCTTCCATACTGTAACAGTACACATGTAGAGGCTGGAGAAAGCAGTCTAGACCTGTTCCAGTACATACAGTAGTCAAAAGTTTAGAATGACCGAATGTATATTTTACCTTAAAGCGAATTTAACTGTTATTTCAAATTTTCTGCATAATTCAACTGAGATGTAAACCAAGTCATTCAGGGTGGTTTGATGTGAAATGCTTTGTTCTAGAAAAACTTACAGACTCTTTACAGTGGTGGTGATAGGAACCAGGGGTTGCGATGTCCACTTATAGCTATTATATTTGCTATACATACTGACCAGTGAACCTACACGTGTCTTCTAAGTTTCATATGTAATATTGTTATTGATGAAATAGTAGTACATCTGAAAAGTTTTCTTTAGGGACTACTTTGCCTGCCTCGCATGTACCTCTGTGCCGTAAATGGACTTAAAATATATACGTTTTAATCTGAAATCTTATTGCAAAACTATCGTTAAACAAAAAAGGTCTCAGGCATCAGGCAGAATATGCATAATCATTCCTTGTCGTAACTTTGTGATGTAGCTTTTAGAGTTGTTAAACTCTTCAGACATCTGGTTCCTATCGCCACCACTGTAAACAATTCTGACTAGGTAAGTTTCTGTAGAATGGAGCATATCACATTTCTCATGTTTTTTAATGTGATAATTACAATAAGCATATTTGGAGCTACTTTACACTTTCACTAAACACTTGTTGACTGGTACAGTAGCTGTCTAAGCCTGCAAGTACGTAACTGGGATTTATAGCTGGCATGTTCTTTATATATAATTTTCCGGTTTCTGCTCATCTTGCTCTCCATCAAAGGGAAAATGACAAAGCATGTGATTCCTGACACTGTCTCATTAAAGGATGATGTAAGCAGGCCTGTATGAATTTATACTGTACATCCGACAGCATGGCTTTTCACCTCTAGGCCAGGCTACAGGATGTACTTGTCCCTGATATAGTGACAATACATGCGATAATGAGATACAGGCATAATAATAATGGCGATGATACCACAGAGTATACTATTACACAAAGTATAAACGCACTACACGAGGTAAGATGTTTGGAAAAGGCCAGCATCACTGAATTTGACCAGAGCAAAGCCTTCACTTTAAAGGCTATTCATAAATTTTCTATTAGTCTCAACTGACAGCTTGGCTCATTGGAACCGTTCTTGTAAAATTGCAAATTCCTCCCACTTGTCGGCTGGAATTGACTGCATGTCTTTGCAATAATAGTCCTAAATGATGGTAATTCCTTGAGCCTGATGAATTACTTGATGTTGCCTTTGGTTTGGAGATAATACTTTGACATTTATTTTAAAATAAAATTTACCTTGTATGAACCAGCACTGATTAGATGGCCACTTACATGAACAGAGATGGTGGTTACATCCACTTACATGCTTTTTTTAGTCAGTGTTTTTATGTACATTTCTTAATGATGTTTTTTTAAAGGCTTCCTAGTTTGTTGTTTTCCAGTATTTTGGAGTCTTTGAAACACTGCATGGTTTGTTACTGTTCAGCCTTTTTAACAAACTCAATTAAAATTGGTAGATTACTTGATTACTAACATAATCCACACTGACACTGCTAGTCTTCATTAAATATCAGGACATCTGTACCAAAATCGTTCTACCTCTGCCAGGAGGCTAGCAATGGGTCAAAAATACTTTCAAAATCAGACACAAAAGCAAATCACTGACCACATAATCAAGACTCTGACTTGGCTGAAGAGGAGAGTCCACAAGCGAAGACTGAAGAATATCTCTTTCATCTCAAAGTTTAGATTTCTTTCCTGTTTTCATATCACATCGATATTTTTCCACAGACCTTTATCTTTATGAAGAATGCTGGAAACACTGCTTGATCAGAGCAGTGTAGCTTTGGCAATTCTTTTGCTTCCTTTGCTACTGACACTATTTCTCCATCCCAACGATAATTTCCGGCCATCATCTACCTGGAATGACATCTTCTTTAAACACATATGAAACACAAGACTTCATCCTCAAACTCTAAATTAACAGTCCTGTGCTTTGTTTCTGAGAGCACCACACTGGATCTTTTAATCTTTGTAAAGTCAGAATGATCTAGATCTAATGATGCAATTGTACAATGCTACATATTTCATTTCCTAAACATTTGAGTTTTACTGTGGAACCTGAACTGTACTGCCAAGACTTAACCATGTCCTACTACACTGCCATCTGGTGGTTAAAAGCTGTTAGAAGCTGTTCACCCTCCCTTTGTAGAACAAGCCTGACTGCATGTTTTTTTCATGGTCATAAATCCTAATAAATCTGGGCTAAATGAAATGAACCTGCATGGTATATATTCCAGTTAAGATTGTGGTTGGGAGGGGGAGGAGGGTGCAAAAAATAATAATAATAAAAAAAACTTACACATTTTGGCAATATTCATGTTTAATTCTTTAGTAAGCATTTGGGGCAGTAAAGCAACAGCATTGTTGTTAAATGCTGGGGGCAGAGGCAAACTCCACAGGGCACAGTACATACAGCAGAGAGACCACTCTCTCACGCTCTCGCAGAGGTCCACCAGGGCCGCAAGAACAATCTGTCTAGTTGAAAACCATTAAAAAAAGCAAAACTCATATAAATAACTTCAGAGAAAGTGGAACTAGATTTAAAAAGTTTTTTTTTTTGGAATGGAAAAAACTTTTAAGTGGGTTTAATTTCTCATCAATGGTTTCACAACGGAGTAGGCTCACGTCTTCTTGGCATAAAAAACCCTGAGTAAACTATGATACCACGTCAAAAAAGTTAAATTAGCTCAATCAACTTTGGGACTGACTCTTCATTCCAATACAAGGGCCTCTGGAATGTGTTGTTGGATTTGAAAAGAAGATCAAGAAATCGAAACGTTTCTAGAACATCGGCAGTTTGCTCAGAATTCAATAACCCACAGCTGTTAACAGAATTTTGTAGTTTTGTAGTTTTGTCCTACCCACAGTTCATAACACCCTCCGTCCACAGATACAGTCATGGGGAAAATGAAAAGTGGGCAGGACAAATTTTCACATAAGTCATGCAACGTGTTATTCTGTTGTCTGTTGACGTTTTTCACTGTTGCTTTGTGAGGACGGCTGTGCTCTGCAGAAATCAGGCGACGCCGAGCAGGTTCCAGTTTGAGTTACTGTAGGTGGCAGTAGAGGAATCTCTATTACTGCTGTTTGCACTCTGCAGGTTGGGCCTCCCCACTCTAGGGAGGGAGGAGGGGAGAGGGAGAAAGAGGGAGGGAGAGAGAACACCACAATTAGAACATTACCACTATCCAAAGACTAGAACTAGTAGAGCATGGGAGGGAGAAAGGAAGATTAAAAAAGGAGGTATATATGACACAAAAGAGTGGTACAAAACCAAAATGTAATGCTTTTTTGTCATATGTGTACCGTTCTATGGCTCTCAGCAAACATCCTATAGAAAAGTGCTCCTTATGCTGCTTTTAAGTGCATATTAAGCTGTAGTTTTCTCCGAAGAGGAACTTGTTCACCTGACTGGTCACAATCTGGTGATTTACGTTGGAAGTAAATAAAAAACATGATGGTTGTAAAATACAAAATATTTGATCATTGGCTAGCAATCAGCTAGCCTCTGTGTATTTTAGCCTATACTGTAATAGTTTGTCACTTGGCCAATTTGTGCTGTATCAAAAATTGTGATGCATCCAATTTCAAAGGGAGTTCACATAGCGCCTCCTGGTGAGAAACTCATTTTTCCCAATAAAACCGAGACGACTTGAAAGAAGCACTAATTTTGCTGCTACTGAGGCTCCGCTGCTCTGCACAGTTTCAAATATTCCCTGCCTCAACACCCCTGATTCAGCGCATCAACTGATTTTGAAGTCCTTAATGAGCTGGATCAGGTGTGTAGGGCAAGCAACACTTGAAACTGTGCACAACAGTGGGTCCCCAGGAGCAGCATTAGAGGATTTGAAAATCATTATAGGGATGTGGCATGATATACATCATAGCATATTAAATAAAAGCACCACTCTTTCATTTCTCATATATACCTTCAATGGGGAGAGAGTATATTCGGGCACAGATAGAACCAATCCAGAAAAATGCCCCCCCAAGTGCTCTGCCATGGAGACCTACATCTCTGGCTCAAAACTATCTGCTAAATAGACTCTTTTAGGACCTCAGGTCATTGTTAATGAAAGGTCCTCAGGCATCAAGTTGCACAATTCTCTAATAATTTAAAGGAATGAATAACTATTAAGAGAAAATAGGTATGGACGTAGTTCACCTACAAAACCCAAGAAGAAACTGCTGCTAGTGGTAAGCTAGCTTTTGGCCCAGAAACAGAAGTCTTTGAACAGTTATGAAAATAATGATCCAAGACCGTTTGCACTAAATAATAGCAAAAATGCTTCACTTTCCTGTTTATCAGAATTTTGCATTTTAACAGTGTAATGTTTTCAATACAATTTCCAAAACGATAAAAATCTTATTTAATACAAATCTAATTTTAATTTCAATCTAATTAATAACACTGTTCAGCAGTTCATCTAATGGGTTTATGATGGTTCTAAATAGCACTGATAGAAAAGACAGAAGGACAAGAACAGAAAGGCCTTCTCCAACACTCAGACCCAACAAACGCATTCTAACTCCTAAGAGAGCCTGGACAAGGCCTTCTTTAGACAGACCAAAATAAAGGAAAAAGAAGATTAATGGAATGGGCATCCTAGGGATAGGAACGAAATAGGGTTAACAGTCAGGAAAGTATGGTGGTGAAAGGATATGATGTGACAACATAGGAACTCAAATGAGGGTCAGCGAGCACAGGACCAGAGTGGAATGAGCTCATGACATTTCTTCCTTACCTAGAAATGCATGAGGTGAGAAATGACTTATGCCTGTAATTGGGGGAGAGTGAGGGTAGGAGGGGGAAGGAGAACAACCAATCACCATTAAAATCTCAAACATTTAAAACAAACTCAAGATGGCTGTATACTGCAAAAAACACAAAAACAGCAAGACTGACAAAAACAGGACCATTGTGACAATGACAAGTACTCAAAAACACAAACATTTGATTTGTCAGACAGTAGGGAACAGGGATGTGCATTCTGAATAATTCTGATATTCAAGTACCCATAAGAATTAATGACCAGATAGCATATAAAGAATTGATTGGTGAGACAGTACTACTAATTAATTCCTTGTCCTAATTTCAAAACCAACCTTAGAATCTCCCTCCTCCTCCTCTTCATCCATTTCATCATCTTGGTCCTGTTTCACAAAACATATTTATCATCAGAGACATTAAAACATGAAGGAACACATTAGTTATTAATGTAATAGACTCACACATACCTCCTCTTCACCCTCATCAAGCTCTTCTTCCTCAAACTAAGGACATACACACAGACAAATAAAAAATCATGAGCACTGCCATAGCATTATACATCTACACATACAAAACATGCAAAATTATTAGCAGTCGTTACATCATTCCAACCCAACACACAAGCACACACTGCTGCATTAAGCATGTTTAACTCCATCTTTTTTTTAAATTGTCCACTTTAAGTCATTAAAAGTTTCCCTAAAAGTAGCTGGGCCGTGTGCACGCCCACGTTGGGCATTAGGCACAGACGATCTTTAAAAATAATTAGCAAAATTTAGTTCATCATTGGCTTTCTCATTGCTGATATCAGATTACACTGAACCACCTCCCAGGCCTATTCTGTACGGTTAAAATGTATCAGCATGTGGAATTGGAGCATCTGTGAGCTACCGTGTCTCAAGTGCTGGACTGTGATTGTTTTTGATGTGCACAAATTCAGGACGGGATTCAGATTGCTGAGAACTTATTATTGACTTCTTTCATCAGAGTAACAATAAAAAGTGACTGAAGTGTATATTCCTATGCATTTGATTGCTGGCTTAAAATGGTGATGTTTGACCGAAAATAACACAAATCTATTGACTTTTCGGTTTTGGTAGATTATCTTCTTTACGTCGAAAGATGTGACAAAGGCATCCAGAAACTCCATTTGACTTAGCATCATAGGTTTAAAAATCTGTGAAAAAATAAATATTTCAGCAAACAAGTTTATACATTTCAATTGCCTTAATTGCATGTCACCTTAACCCCAGAAATAAAAATGAGCCATTTTAATTTGGTCTCGTTATTTGAAATAGAACACAGAAAGTCACCATTCTCCTTTTTGCAACCGAAAACTGAGCATTTGTAAATGAGCGCCATCTCTTAGCAGCTATAACGTTAGTCAAGCAGAGCGATGTGGAGTGTGTGAAGCGTAGGAGGGTCAGTTGATTTCACATCTCATGAACACGCAATCTAAGTTACCTTATGATTCGCCATAGTTGATTAGTGTTATCTGTGACATGTAACACCAAGCCAAATAAAGTATAATTCCTAAATAGTGGTCAGGGGCTACTATACGAACAAATTTTATTTAGATGTCATTTTATGCACTCTGCAGTGCCCAATAAATGTTGGACTAAAGCAGAGGTATGAAAATAATCACATACTTCCTGGAGGAAAAATACTGTGCTGGGCATTTAAATTTTTAAGGAGAAATGTTCACTTACGCTCTCATCATCCTCCAGCGCCTCCCCAGTGAAGTACAGCACAGCTCTTGGTACTATCCTCTCCCTGAAGAAATGGCCAATTTCAAAATCTGTGGCTAGAGTGAACTCAGAGTCCTCATCCTGTCAGAGTACATGAAAAACGAAACAGGTTCACAACACAACGCTGCATCAATACTCTAAAAATCAATTAAACTTAAATATTTAATTGAGTTTACATTGAGTCAATGTTATTCACAAGATTTCCTATTAAAAGAGACTAAATGTACCAGCTAAAAGTGCTACACTAACTACCACCAACAGTAACTACTGAAGATGCTGAGGTATAGTGTACGACCACCTATGAAAAGGTAGTAATTTATGCTAAAACACCAGTACAGTTTTATGTGATGGCATTTTTCTACTAGGCAGTGCAGTACTACACAGTACAGTTACTATTCTGGAGCCAGACCTCTCTGCCAAAGTACCAGTCACATCACACAACAGAAGTGTAAATTAAGTGGACTGTTTTTTTTTTTTCAAGAAATGGCTGCCATCTCACTTGACTGGCAGTGTTTGACCAATCAATGGTCTGCACTATTTCTAGCTCCATCCATTCGTCTCACATCTGTACGCTTGGTACAACCCGCAAGAAGGGTAACTAAATTAGGGCTGCAACAACTGAACAACATTATACAAAAATCATTGGCAACAAATGAGATGCTCTCCAGAATGGAGATTTAAAAAAAATCAGTTTCATGTGTTTTCATGTGGATAGATGTTTTTTGAAAAAAGCTGACATCGTGCACATGGTTAATGCTGTTTCACGTGTAGTGAGCATGCTTCAGGACACTGTGTGTCTAACACGGCTGATGACCGGACTGTTTCTGTGTTCTCAGTAATATCAGGTTTGATTATATGATGTTACTGTCATTAGAAGAGAAATAATTTGACTAGCAATGTGAAGGTTTTCTAGAATTTAACTACCTCAATGGTATTTGGGCTGCCATGTAAGATTGGTTGTTCTTTTGTTATTTATGCACTTTTCAGACTAAACAATATAGTGTTTATTAGGACAGTGCAAAAGGTTTATATCAGTAGTTTATATAAGTAGTTTTTAACAAATATGATCTAGTAGATAGGGTCCTTGTATTTTTAAATTGTTGAAAGAAAAACGACAAGAAATACTTAGTTAGCGACAGACTACTAGCTGTAGTTTTTATTTTCCAGCAGCAATAAGGAACTGATTAATCAATTATAGAAACTGTTAATCGCAGCACTAAACTAAATATAACATAGGTACTCGGATATGATACTATGACGGGTTTGTAATTTGTACCGTTCCTTACCGTATTGCCCAGTTTTAAAACATCATAAGGTACAACAAATGTTTTTTCTGCTCACATCAGAAGACTTTTATAGGATCAGTTTTAACATTTGTGACTGCTTAGTTATTTGGTATAAATGCGAAAGGTCAGGCACAGCTACAATATATTTTGAAACTGAGCTCTAAGATCATCAGAGTGCCATTTAGAATTGTATAAAATGGTGTCCTCTGTAAAGCCTTATCTGTGTAAGTCAATGCAGGGAAACAGACTTACCAATTCACTATCTGGAGAAACTGTGAAGGAAAAAAAAAGAGAAAATGATGTTACAGGTTGCAGGCTTGTTATCTAAACAAAATGCACTGAAGTTTTGTACCTTTAATGGGGTTGAAGAAGTTGAAAAAGGAGTCAGTGGGCACTTGTTTAGTGACCGTCCTTACGATGCCCCGGCCCTTGTGCTTCTGCTTCTTCTTGATTGTTTTGACTGTAACATCTTTGCCTTTGCACCAGTCAATCTCACATCTGCCATCAGCAGGACAGGAAAAATGACAGGGTGTTCAGTGCTAGTTTGCATAGCAGGCTCTACAGTTCAGCAAACATTTTTTTTCACTGATCTCTCACACCTAGACAACTGGCTTGTGGTCAGCTTTACATCACACACATCGCTCAGACTGGAACTGAAGATTTAAATTGTTTAACTTAAAAAAATTGTACTAATTGTACCTAAAAAAACGGTGCTACCAGATGATGTGCTAGGGCGACAAACTGAAAAAGTTGGTACTGGTGGAAAAGTTAGTCTGGAGAACTGCTTAGTATAAAGTATAAAAATGAACAAAAAGTTCACTGTGTAGCGAAATGCCACAATCAGCCATTACAGACAACAGTGCTGGGCTGAATTCTGCCCCATCCCAACAAAATCTGGCTCGTCACACAGGCATGGATGCTAGATAATGTTTGAGATTTCTTTGTTTCTATTTTTAAACATATAACTTCAGTTAAAACATTCAAGACTAACAGTTATCCATAAAAAAACCCTATAAACATGCTCTGTGGTGCATGACGTGTGCATGTGACAGTCAGCTGCATTTCAGCACATCCCCGGTCTGCCTGCAGAGTTCAACTACACAGTGAAGTTTTGTTCATTTTTTATAGTTCACAGCAAGTCATACTGTGTCCTAAACCATAGTGACAAGTCTGTGCATCCTTAATGAAGACATGGACGCAGTTTGAGCAGGTTGAGAGAAGTTTTGAGGATGTACATATGGAAAGATGTTGGTGACTATTGACTTGTAACGTTTGTTAGTAATGTTAGCCTCACAGCTCCAGTTCTTAACCAAAGAAGAAAAAACTGGATTCCAAACATGTCTTGGCTGATTAATTAAATCTAAAGAAAGTGGGAAAGCTGTACGATTACCACTTATTTGCCAAATTAATTTGCTGAACGGTGACAACTGAATGTCAACTGCTACTATGTTAAATTACATTTACTTCAATTACAAAAACAAAACAAAAAAATTAAAATTATTTAAAAATGCACACATTCAAACAGCACAAATGGTTGACATGCTCATCGCTGTATTAATAAAGCCTGAGACAGGAATATAATTTACATCAATTAATGACATTTACATCCCTCTCATCTCACTCAGACACATACCCCTCACAGTCAATAATCTCCGGCCCTTCAAATGAGAACGGATCCTCAGCTTCTGGTTCAGACTTCATCTTGTACATTTTTGTGAGGACGGTGTTTTTAAAGTAGTTGTTAGGTTCAAAGTGAAACTCTAATGTAAAACTCTGCCAAAAGAAGATAAACCCACAAAGACACACACATATAAACACAATGCTCTCACTGGGTGTACTGTAAACAACCCTGCAGAAGGCTATCATAAGTAACACAAGCAAAATATGAAAAAAAAAAAAAAATTTCCAAGACAGACATTTAAATAAATTACAGTAAACTTGCTTGAAAGGCATGTCCTTAAACACAGTGTTTTCAAATCACAGATTAAAAGTTAGCCTTGGACTAGGCATTGCCAGTGGGAGGGAATTATCTTTTGCACAGGCTGCTAGACTTAATTTATGTATAAAAAGAGTCCCATAATAACCCCTGCTGGCTACAAAATGAACAATAAACCGAATACAAAATTGGATCTCTCCTTACCATAGGCTCATCAGGACCAGAAAATATTACTTTTATGTCTTGTAGATGTCTAAGTATTGGCTCATCGTGTTCCTGGAAGAAAGAAAGGTAGAGTTATTGACTGGTCAGAAGAGCACCTTGCCGGGTCTGCACACTTTCCTAAAATGATCACATATGTTTCTCACTGTTTCCCATATCACATTATACTTCAAATACTATCGACTGTCCTCGCATACTGTACTATAACAAGTGACACACACAATGTGACAGGGAATAGGCTTACAAAAAACAATTGAAGATTTAATTCCAAGGGGCTGTATCCATTTGAAAATCTGACAATTTTATATGTACCATTTCTGAAATAAGCCGACACAACACAAAACTTTTTATTTCTCTAATAAAAGTGGCATTAATTATATTATAGCACTGGCATTTCTTGTATGTGTAAAGCCAACTCTACAAGGTAATTTAAGAAAATAAAAGAAAAAAATTGGTCAATTTGGTATGAAACTCTTCAATTCTAAAACTCTGCAGTCTTAGAACTGCGTGGGCACAATGAGACTGTTTACATACAAGACTGTGATTAAAAACCACTGTCATCATTACTGTGACAATTTAGAGTTTCAAAATGAACTAAAAATAGCTGGGCAATACTACACACCACTGCTTTCCAAGTACCTTAACTTTTTAGGTGTTATCTGCTGTTATCCTAAACCTTTTCACCCAAAAAAGTACCCCCCCCTCTGAGTTTGATCACAGCAATGCTACAGGTGTCTGTGGCTGTGAGTCCAAGACAGCATAACTGGCCTCGTTCTCGTTGGGTGGTTAGAAACAGCATCAGATTCACTTAATTTTGCCAAGTATGCTACATATACAACAAATGTGTCTTGGTAAGTGCACACACGCATGACATTTAACGTATTAAAGAAACTGTAAACAAATATTCAAAACAAAATAAAACATTTAACTAAGGGGCAAATAAAATAAAAACTAAACTGGAATATATAATAAAAAGAATATGAGAGCAGATATAAGAGCCTATGTAAAAGGAGCTAAACAAGATGAATGTGAAAATGTGCATATGTGCAGTGTCTGAGGAGACATAATACAGTAATCACCACATACAGCATAGGAAGGAAGACCTTCTCCATCATCACTCTGCGTGATGCTAGCCAACACACGCATCTGTTCGCTGACATCACAGAAGTGTGTTAAGCTATCCAACGATGTTGTGTTAGTAGCAGTTTGAAATGAAGCAGTGGTTGGCCTCACGTGTCTGAGGAAACACATGCTAGCCTTTAGCCTGCCAGCTTGGGAGCATCATGTGATGGAGGAGACTTAACTAGCAGGTAGGACACAGCCATGACTAAATTGGGGAAAAACTGAAGTAGAAAAAACTCCCTCTACAGGTAATTACATAAAACATGTCAGAAATATAATTGGAAGCCAGCAAAAAACACAACAAACACAACTACACATGGACGTGAGCAGTCTAGTCCGGATGTATAACCTTTAATAATAATATAAATGTCATTAATCCGTGTAAAATTAGGTGCATAAATGCCCTTGGCCCCAAAAATTAGACATATTTTACTCTTTTTTCCCCCAGGTTAATATACTTGTTCTTTAAAAGACATCTGTCATGAGTGCAAGGAAAAAAATGCTTTAATTCAGCATTTGCATGGGGGAGACTGTACAGCATCATGTAGCAGAGCGATACTAAAGCATGCATCTAAACAAGTTCAAGTTAATTTTGACATGCTACTTGTCTGAATTTAATGTAATAACATTTTCAACATAATCTTGCTTAGAACCAGTTTTCTACCTCTTCACAAGTCTAGGCAAGTAATGTTAGCTGAGGTAACAGACCATTAGCATTTGTCTCTTTATCTAAAAGGCTAACTGCCTTTCTCTGTGTAAATTTCAAGCCACATGTGATCTACTGTGGCTTTCTGTGGTCTCAGTATGGCTTTAACTTAAAGTTGTAGTAGCAAAATGCTCAGTGGGGCACTGAGAAATTGAACAGTGCTCAGAATCACAGAGTGCAGCCCCCCTTCGACACAGAGTGTTGGCGCCATTGCACATCACAAGGTTGAAAAGTCTGTGCGACGTCTTTGTTGTGCGGAGGCCTTCTATACTTAAACTGTTAGAACACAAAGAGACTGCTGTAAAGGTCTAACCACAGACCAGGATGCAACTGGATGCTTCAGAATGGTAAAGGTTTACATTCACAGCCCTGTTTTGCTTTGTGAGTGTATGGTGGTTTATTGATTGTGCTATCTTGCTGACATAGCAAAGACACACGAATTTAGTGCTAACTGTCCTATACAGACTCCTCCATCGCAGACATCTAAGCAACATGACCTTATCTTAGATTTGTCCTATAACTCAGTTTTGTATCACTAGTCTGATTAAAGTCAGAAAACTCAGCACTCAGAGTTGAAACATCACCCATGTAGTCCAGCAGTATAGTATTAAAGTAGTTTTCAAGAGCTTAACCAAGAACTGATGTATTCAATCAAAAAAGGGATGCAAACATTTGTTCAGAGGGCACATCATGTTAGTAGTTAAACTAAAATACAGAAACTAACCAGGTGTTTACTTGCCTATACAATGTACTGCTAGAAAACACGGCTCACTGTAAACTTGGCATCCAACGACGGCACATTTATTCTTGTTTACATCAGACATGGTGTTTGCTGTGAAATGGGGGGGGTGGGTGTGATTATTCTGGCATGAGGGGGAGGCACTGCTTTGCCATGACATAATAATGAGAAAGAAAATCCCAACAACCTATTGAATTACACACCTTGTTTTGAAAGGAAAATACACCAAAACATCAGAAACTTCACATTTTGCAGTTTTTCGAATGGAATATACCGTGACAAGTAAAGTATATTTGAACTGACAATTAAAATGTTGGCTTGTTTAGTTAAATAAAAAAATACAATTATTATGCTCACCTGAAGCATGTCGCTCAGCATGTCCACACTGCGGAATATGGTGAGCCAGAATTCCGGAATTCCTTTGGGGTTCTCCTCGGCAGCGGCCTCCTCCTTCGGCTCCTCTATAGAGGCTTTCTTCTGTAGCTCGTCCTGAAAAGGTCGGCCAGGCTCAGATTACACACCTTACTCTTAACCACAAAGAGAAGGCTGCGTTCTTTGGTGTGCACAGACTCTCTAGAAAGTGTCTCGGTAACAGGATCGGGCCCTCCACCCCTCTATATAATCACAGTCATTAAAATATGAAAGGATCTCTTATCAGCCGATCAATACATACAGGTCTCATTAAAAGCTCTTCCTAGATCAGCTCTCCTATACTCTGGCACATATGTAAAAAGATTTTCAAGCTTGTAAAACTGAATGCATTCAAAAGTTCAGTCTGTTGGAACAGGTGTGAACTAGGTGTAAACATAAATATGCCATTTTCCTTCAAACCTTAGTGCAGTACTTCTATTTATTTCCTAAGTTTAACATATTGCCAAAAAAAACAAACAAACAAACAAAAAAAAAAAACATAAAATGCGGCATAACTTTTGCACAGACCACTATGTTTTTCCCCTATATGACAAATTCAGCAAATAAAAGATACATTGTACATTAACTGTGAAAGTGTATTCTCTGTGTTTTTCTTGCATGATTTTAAAAAATTAAAAGATTTAGGAATCCTATGCTTTATTTTATTTCACAGTTCAGAAAGCCTGCAGTGCCCTCTATTAAAGATTCTCAGCTCCAGTCATAATTGCAAATAGGTATATATGATAATTATGGATTAGTATGTACAATATAATTTTTTATGATTACTGTATTGAACATATTGTACATCTTACCATACACACAGTACTACTACTAAAAACATACAGAGAATATAGTTTGTTTAGCTTTAAACATGCAGCAGTTTCTTAAATACAATATTGTGATAATCACCCATTGTTGTCTTGTGATAAGACCATGATAAAAGGTTATGTAATTACTGTAATATATTTTTTTAATATAAATACCCAGGCTACTTACTGTAAGAAGAGATCAGTAAGAGAATTTTAACTGTAATCTCAAAACTAATTATTGCCATTACGTCATCTATAGTAAACTGTTTTTTTATTATTAGCTTTATTGAGTTCAGTCGAGTAACCAGCCTAGTGTGAACCAAGTGCACACCAAAATGTGAAGTTCTGGTGCTGCTCCACCTTCATTATTCTGCCTGCTAAGGTAGAATAAAGTCCACACTTTCCAGTACTCAAACCAGAGCAATTAAACTAAATATGGGCAGAGCCTTTTAGTACATATAATGCTGCAACACTCAGGCAGCTGGAAAAGCAACTGAAGAAAATCACCAGCACTCAAACCAAAGCAAAAAGTTAGATTTAGAACCACTCTAAAAGTTTAATGGAGCAATACTCACTGCCAGCTCTTCCTCCTCATGGTCACTCTGCCATTCACACTCCTCATCTGTAGGTTCCACTGCACCCGTTACAATTTCTTTCCTCTGGAGCCAAAAAAGAATGCAGAGAGAAATAAAACACCATGACTGGTGAACTGAAAGAGCCTGAACTCGACTGAAGCTTTGTACGCTGATGAGGAAAAAAGCCTGAAAGCCCCAGACAGATTTTTTTAGAAAATTAGTTTTTAGTTCTTGGTTGCAGGCATGCAGTTTTTTGTCCTCAAATAGAGACTTTACCATAACAGTCTTAAGAAAGGGAAAAAGTTGGAAAACTACATCATTCCCACAGTATATATTCCAGGATGTTCCCATGGTTCCTATCTAATTCAAAATGCACATGTCCATAAATCTGCTACTTATTTCCTTGCTGTCACAACAAAACCTCGTATCTCTGAATTTTACAGGAGAGGCAACAATGTTCATAACTTTCATGTACATTAATTAGTGATGCGCTTTAATATCCCGTCATTGCGATAATGATTAAAGCCAGAAATCTTTTAACGCTGTTAACGCATTTTTCTAGCTTGACCATTCGAAGCATCTACACTGGAGCCCAGGTGCTTGCTCGCTGTGTGTTGCTATGACTCCTCAACTGTAGTCCTCTTGCTGAAATGCAGCTTTTAAATGGCGAGTTCCATTACGGGTCTCTTGATGAAACCAAAATTATTTTCATCTACTGTCATGTCATGAATTTGTTTATAAAAGTACATAAAGTTTGAAGTATGATTTCAAGAAAACACACCACTGATGTGGAAATTGGACTTTACTGAATGTGGAAGATGGACTTTACTGGACAGAAACATACAAAAGCAACAGCAGAATGGAAAACTACAGTATGACAGCCCTAACATCAGTGGAATTAAAATTTATTCCAAGTCATTTTGGATCATTTCTGTTGGTCCATTTGTCATTAACATTTCACATAATGTAATGAACAAATGGAGTCAATTTTGACATAATGGCAATAAAATTTGGCTAAACTAAAAACATTGTTTAAACATGCCATAGAATGCATTTTTTCAGCATGTTTAATTGTCTGATGTCTACATAGAAGATATGTGACTTTGGTCAGGGTGAAAAATGCCCAGATGTGGTTTTAGATGCCCATTTGCATCCATATGATTTGGCCCTAGAATAAAACAAGCTGTTTTCCCTTTTTTTGGTGGATTCATGAATAATTTGATAAGCACTGCTCCAATTTACTGGTTTACAGCGAGGGACTGCGACAGCTCACACAGAAGCAATGTGTTGAAATAGACACAGGCAGAAAAATAATATGAACCTCTGTGTACATAAGCTACGTCATCAGACTATTTAGTTAGCTTAAATTAAAGCTGTTAGCTCACTATGAAGCTTTCAATTTAAAATGATCTGGCTTCAACCATCAAAAAGTGGATAAAATTACACAGCATGGTCACTACACAGGTTTTGGTTGGCACTGTGATGATAAAGTTAAAACTACCCCTCTCTATAGTGTCAAGCACTGAGCGAAGCCTGCTCGACGTTGTCCAAGGTTTGAGAAACTGTCTAAAGGGGAACGTGCAGAGAAAACTAACAACTTTAAATTAAAGATTTTTTTAGGATCTTGTTAAAGATGTGTGAGCCTCGGTTAGCTTCCTATTCACCAGATTATTCTGCGAATTTTCCATTCCACCTTAAATGATGCCACGTTACATTCTGGCACCTGTACAAGCTGTAACATTTGAGGTGGAACAGAACATTTGATTAAGAAGCTGGCAAACAGGAAGCCGACTTTAGCCTTGTTTAAAGATGAACATCAACCACACGCACTGACCTTGGCTGGGCCTTCAGAAAGAAAGTTGTAGGTTCCTTGGAAAGGGTGTAAAGTAAAACAAAAACCAAAAAAAAAAACCCTTTACAGCCTGGAACAGTGGATGGTCCACCATTTTCTGCTGTCGCTTCACTTTCATTGTATGTACATTTTGTGGGCGTAGTTTAGAATTTTGGAATTGGCCCGTCTTACCGCCCAATTTCAGGGTTTGTATTTGAAGGAGGAGACAACAATGAGCTTCACAGATTGTCAGTTCTCTGGACTGAACGCTCCGTATTCTAATCTGCCAGTGTAGATGCAGTTTTCCATTCTATGGCACCTTTAAACCAGAAGCTGAATTCCCTTATGTAGTCACTGATAAAGCAGCATTTGTGGGGACAACCACAAAGGCAGACTTACCTTATCAAACAGTGGCTGATAGAGTGCAGCATACTTTCTCTCTAGCTCATGCACCTCTTCGTAAAATTTGGCTTCTATGTGCGCGCTCTTGACCTGTAGATTCTTTAAGGCGTTGACTCTTCTCTTGACAGATGCGGGTAAACTGCAAGGAAAGGAGAAAGAGAACACATTTTGTGAGCAGATGGGCATCTACTACTGCACAGCTGGACAGGTCAGAGTACCTGCTCTCTAGGGCATTCAGATGGGTCTGAAGCTGCGGACTGAGACAAAATCTCTACCTTACTGTGAAATACTATACTGAATGATAAAAGATGTGTATTGCATTTCGCTACATCAGAGGTTGGATGAATGTCATGAATGTAAGGCCTAACTAGGACGCAGATATTACATGCATGTGCCAGTTAACCACAAACATTTATACATCACAGAGCACAAAAGGGAGTGTTTTATAAACACACAACCTGCTTTTTACAACAGCTTTGCAAAGCAGAGAAAAAAAAAGTGAAGCAAAGAATCCCCGAACATTACCTTAAATAAGCTTTTAATATTAGCAATTTCTTTTGCCAGCTGTTCAGCAATTATTTTTACTTGGCAACCTACAACAATACAGTGGAACAACACAGGTACAGTGGAAAAACAAGCTGTTATAAGATACAATGACACAGGTAGAATGCTTTTCAACCAATCAGAAACAGTCAGAAACAGGTGGTTAGTAACTATATTTACTCAGTTACACGCACTCACTTTTAATGAGTATTTTTTGTGTGGAAAGGAATCTACTTTTTACAGGTGTACAGTTACAGTCGTTCACATGAAGTTACTAAATCCAGTGGCACAGCATCTGTACTGCTCTGCCACTGGTCACAAATCTTACTTTTGCGGTATTGTTTTATTTTAGATCAAGGCAAAAAATAGAGCCTAACAAACTTCAGTTCCTTTGCTGACAGCATAAACGAGTTCCAATACAGACCTAAAGGAAAGTATGAATGAAGGAGCTCCAAAGGAGTTCTATAAATTACTCAGTAATTAAGTTGTTACTGGACCTGGCACTTCAGTACTTGTACTTAAGTTATTTTTGGAAAGGTATTTATACTTTTTTACCCAAGTAACAATATTTTTATATTCACCTCTTATTTGTCGTATCTAACTGTTGTATATAAGTTTAGCAGTTTACTGGAAATGCCAGCACATTTTATTTGATAAAGGTGGCGTCAGCGCCTCAAGAACACAAAAAAAAAAAAGCAAAAACAAACGGAAAAAAAAACAACAAATCTGTCCTGACCTGTCCATAACAGAAGGAGTGTGTGTGACGCTGTCTAGTCTGTCCTGAAGAGCCGCCAGTGCTTGTGGGTTCTGCATCACTTGGTCGCCCACCTTACCTGCAGGTGTACAGTACAGTTATCAGCACATAGAGTAAATATTCAACTCACCAGAAAATTTCCATGCAGCCAGTTAAAATAACAGGTTTGAAATAGGCACCTAAGCCGAGAGAAAAGTCAGAACTAAAGTCTACCTGAAGTATATGAAGGTACTTTCTTAGACAAAGTGTCCTAAAGGCTTCCTCTAGACTTTCCTTTGAGTATTATTACCACAGTTATTTTTTTCACTGATTTCTCAAAATTTCTAGGTAATTATGCTTAAGATGTAAACTAAATCATCCAGAGTGGTTTGATGTGAAATTTGCCATCTAGAGAAACTTAGAGAGTCATAATTGTTCACAGTGGTGGTGATAGGAACCAGACGTCATAAGCGTTCAATTCCTCCAAAAGCTCCCTCACAGAAAGCTTTTACACGCAATAATTACCAATTTGCAGCCTGATGCCAGAGACACTGTTTGACGACAGTTTTGAGAAGGTTTTTAAAGCCTTGCCCTATTTGACCCTAATGGCCGAGATATACATGCAGGTCATCGTAAGGTACAATAGTCCCCAAAGTAAACATAAGTCCCGCCCCCATTTAGAACTCAGAAGACACATATACGTTTACTGGTAAATAGTATTAGGATAGTAAATGTTTTCCCCCCAATCATCGTCACTGTAAAGAAATCTGAGTTAGTTTCTGAGACAAGTTTTTCTACAGTGCGGCATTTTACATCAAAACACCCTGAATGACTTTGTTTACATCTCAACAACTGAACTATGCAGAAAATTTAAGAAAAATCAAAGAAATTCCCTTTAAATACGTATGTACCAGAGTCAGCCAGAGATTATACTCAGCTCTGCTAAACAGCACTACATTCTGTTACAATGCTGGGATGTACAGATTTCTAACGTATCTCCACATCTGCGTGGAAGGCAGATTGGAGAGGGGGATCTAATTGCCGTAACGTCTTGGCAGCTATTATTGTAGTCTTCATGAAACTTTTAGACTGAAACTTTACACTAGCCTTGCCAGAATGGCATCTCGGAATAATCATTCATAAGACACAGAAGAAACGACAACTGTCCACCTGCTGATAAATTTTTCAGCAGCTAAGACAGCCACAGAATGGTCTGCTCTTTCCCACAACAAATGATGGAGACAATTGAGGATCTGACTGAGGTATCGCAGTTACTTTACCTTTGGCTTCGTTCTTGTCGCCTTCCATCTTGTAAGGACAGCTCAAATGTTCTGTGCAGGGGGACAAATACATTAATGAACTGAAGTATTATTTGTAAAATGGCTTAAGGCTGGTAAGCCAGGTGTGGCAGACTAACAAAAGGCCTGAAGCAAAGAATAAATGCTCTTACCATTCAAGCTTAGGCTTGAACAGGAATTTGCAGTACTGCACAAACAACCACCAAACATTATTTATTTAACTAGATTAACAGATTTCCTATTAGTTACCACGGCGTTCATAATATTCAGTCACACACGCAGGATTAACTGACAAGACTTTGTTATTTTTTGACCAACATTGACGTTTTTTCAACGAATGTTATTCCAAACGGCTGTAATGTTTTGAAACAGTCAGGCATTCATGCAGGGAAACTGCTAGCGCAACCCGATGACGCAACTCGGCTAACTTTGTTAGCAGTGTAGTACATAAGTAGAGGCTACGTTCCAACTTAAACCTAAAACTTAAATCTGCTTGAGCTATTTTCAAAACCATTCATCCGCTATTAAATAAAAGTTACTGCGCTGTACCTTTTACACATCTAACGCGGTGGCTATGTACGGGTAACATCGACAAAAGGAATTCTGGGCGTAGCCAGATGCTCTAGCTAGTTAGCTAGCCAGCTAACAAGCAACTTAAATTAGCCACTGCCGATTTGTCCTAGTTAGCTGGCAACGTAAACGGTGTAATATTTTATTGTAGCGGAATAAGGATAACTGACAGCACAGAGCAACAAACTGACCTCATGTGTGACAAGTGTCAAACCACAAAGTGACTACGCAGGTGGCGAAGCTAGCTAGCTAGCTAACATTTACCGCTAGCCGGATATAGCCAAGGAACCACGAAGCTGAAGTTAGCTTCTTATTCGCATTTTCCCCGTTCCACCTTAAATGGTACATCAAGTAACTTCTTTCGTCCGAGGCGCCGGAATGTAACTTCTGTACTATTTAAGGTGGAACGGGAAATTAACGCAAGAGCTGGGGAATAGGAATCCAACTTCAGCCTCGTGAAGGAGCCTGCTTCTCTGTGTAAGTTATTCTGCACTCAACCGCATAAACAGTTCGTCTGGTAGACAGACAGCTAACATGATATCTACACCGTTAGGATCTGTTTAGCGGGGGAGTTAGCAGTGTTTGCTAACAAAGCTAATAATGCGACCAAAACATTAGCAGGTGAGAGAGCCCTGACTGACAAAGCTGCTCTTACGCAGCAAAAACCTGACAGAAAACGCTGCAGAGCGCTTTGTTATGGTTCAGTATACTTAACAATAAATCAGGCCTGCGAATTTAGAGAATTAACTGGATTTCGGAAATCTTTGCGAAAATTACTTTCTTACCTTGTCCAGAGCTGTTTTCGTTCACATTGGCAGTTTCAATGAAGTGGGCCGCTTTGAAGCAATGCTGGACCCCATTGGGTCCGGCATCCAAGTAGCGCCGCCTTAACGAAACGTCAAGGATCAGCGGAATGCAGCATCCACACAAGCTCGGATTCTTTCTCTGCAAGGAAAGCAAATGTTACCTTTAACTTAGAGCTGTGTGATGTAATGTGCTGTGCCTCATATACAAATCCAGATGTGGAGTACATTGTAAATATCTGTCAAATGTATATGTATATGTATATGTATGTGTATATGTATATGCATATAGGCGGAATAGATCCACCGACGATGCAATCGCCCTGACCCTGCACACTGCCCTCTCCCACCTGGAAAAGAAGGACACGTATGTGAGAATGCTGTTTGTAGACTACAGTTCAGCATTCAACACAATCGTTCCTTCGAGGCTCAACTGCAAGCTCCGGGATCTGGGTCTGAACAGCACACTGTGCAGCTGGATCCTGAACTTCCTGACGGACCGACGGCAGGTGGTAAGGATGGGAAGTATCACATCCTCCTCTTTGACCCTCAACATCGGAGCCCCCCAGGGTTGTGTGCTCAGCCCGCTCCTGTACTCCCTGTACACCCATGACTGCACTGCTAGACACAGCTCCAACGTCATCATAAAGTTTGCTGACGACACAACAGTTGTGGGCCTGATCTCCAACAATGATGAATCGGCCTACAGAGAGGAGGTTAAAATCCTGGAAAACTGGTGCCAGGAGAATAACCTCTCTCTAAACGTCAGTAAGACCAAGGAGCTGATCGTGGACTTCAGGAAGCAGGAGACAGTACACCCATCGATTTCCATCAATGGGACTGCGGTAGAGAGGGTCAGCAGCTTTAAGTTTCTCGGTGTTCACATCAGCGAGGACCTGACATGGGCAGTGCACACCTCACAGGTGGTGAAGAAGGCCCACCAGCGCCTCTACTTCCTCAGAAGGCTGAGGAGGTTTGGCCTGAACCCCAGCATCCTTAAGACCTTCTACACCTGCACTGTGGAAAGCATCCTGACGGGCAGCATCACCACCTGGTACGGGAACTGTACTGTTCGTGAGAGGAAATCTCTGCAGAGGGTGGTGCGGACAGCACAGTCCATCACCGGGGTTCAGCTCCCTAACCTATTGGATTTATACACCAGTCGCTGCCTGAGGAAATCCAGAAGGATTATGAAGGACCCCTCCCATCCTAGTCACTGTCTGTTCTCTCAGCTGCCGAGTGGTAGGAGGCTCAGAAGCTTAAAAGCCAGAACCAGTCGGCTCAAAGACAGCTTCTTCCCCCATGCAACCAGGCTATTGAACAGCCAGTAATCACTGCTCTGCCCAGCCCAACCCTTCCCATTACACGTACGTGCACCCACTGTACTCCCGCACTTTACTTGCATAGCTGGACTTTGAATACCTATCCAAAGACAATACTCTCCCCCTGCGCTTCCACTTAACTTCCTGTACCTTGCACTTTACTAAATACTCTGCCACCTACTGTACCATCTTCTACCTCCACACCTAGTGTGATTACTTGCACATCTACATAGCATTGTAATATCCATTACTATATATAGTATATAGTTGATTACACTCACTCTACATTCCCAGTGCAATATTATATGTCTCGGTGCAATATTATTATTTTTAAGTTATTGTGTAAGATTATATGTATATATTTTAGTTAAATTGGTTTTATCTATTCTTCTATCCTATCTATAGTTTTGTTTATCTATGTGTAAATACTGTTCTCTGCATAATTTGTGGAACTCGCACTCAAGTTTTTCACTCACCTGTGTCCCTGTACTCTTGTGATGTGACAATAAATCTGATTTGATTTGATTTGATTTGATTTGATAATATGAATGCCTTATGAGTCCTTTTTTCTTTTGGTTTTCTTTTTTCTTTCTGTTTAATATCGCCAAGATGTTAATGTATTATAGAACACATTATATTACATTATATTGCATTATATTATAAGGAAAAAATAGTAAAACGTCATAGACATGACTTGTTGCACAATGTCCCTTTTGCCTCACATGGCCAAAAAAGTGTGGAAGCCTGTTTATGCTATTAAAAATGTAGCCATTTAGTTATTTAAGTCAGAATAATGATAATTTCCTTTTTATTATGACTTAGTATCTTATAATAATGACTTACTAATAATGACCTTCTTTATTATGAGATAGTAAGTCATTAATATGAGATGTTAAGTTGCAATTATGATAAGTGAACATTATGATAAACGTTATATAATTATTATGACATACTAGATGCCTTTTTTCAAGTGTAGGAAATGGACTTCCATTTAAAATTGTACACAGTTTAGTTTTTTAAAAAAAACTTTTGCTTAAACAACTGTTCAGTAATTAGAAATGTTATGGAGGGAAAGACAGAAAATGCACATGTTCCCAGCAAAAATGAATTAACATGATGTTCCTGTGATATTCCTTGACATGGGCACCGTAAAAGAAAGGGAGGGTTCTGTTCAGTTTAGTTTTGGGTCTACTCACTTTCATATGGCCTTTGCCGCAATCTTTGATTTACTTTTCAATGTTGAACATATCAATTGAAAGTCCAGCACTTTGGCCTGTCCCTATATTTGGGGCTTACAGACAATTGGGAGAAAAACTTCCTTAAAGTGGCCTTAGTCTGTCCAGTTATTAGGCCTATCACTTATTCCACGATGGCCTCATGGTCTCCCACACATGCCTGAGGCATTTCCTGGCTTCAGCATGCATTTCCTTGTATCTACTGTGACACTGGTTTCAGATCTGGCAGCACAGATGGATCCTGTAATATTCTGGTTCAATACTGCTTTGCACTGTTTTAAGTGGTCTTAGAACTGTTGCAGAGCAGTGGGTCCTCGGGACTACAGATGAGATCCCCCTGCAGGGAGGATTAAACATCAGTGGGTGGTGCCCTATTGTCCTGGGGACAGAGGCATTTCCACCCAGCCTGTCTGCCTTTTACATCAGTTCCCTTATGCAGGGAAGTGGTCACAACAGATGCTTCTCTCTCAGGTTGGGAAGTAGTTTGGTTTCATCCTGGAAGAAGTGGGAAGTGGCCTAGGCTGATTGCCTTGGAACACGTTAACTACATGGAGTTATACACTGTTCACCTTTTGTTGACTTAAGCTCAAACACTTCATACGGCACTTCAAGACATTTTCTTGATACACAACAAATAGTGATGGCGAGATGAAGCTTAAAGCTTTCCGATCAAACGTCTTGAAAAATGGTTTATTTCTCAAGGCTTCAAGTGCCCACTAGAGGCCCCTAGTGGTCAAAAGAATATAGGCCTGTATAGCATGAACAATTTTTTAGGCATGCGGTGCCCAGTCCTGGTTCAGGAAATCTGACACCCTATAGGTTCAGATCCAACATACCTGTCTCTAATTTTTTAGATGCCTTTGAAAGCTTTCATTACCTGGATGAGGTGTGCTTGGATAGGATTGGAGCTAAACTCTGTCGGGCAGTAGATCTCCAGAAGTACTGATTAGTCCCCCTGGTTTTAGATGACAGAGCTAATAAGAAAGCTGATGAGCACGGGTGGATTTAGTGATTCTGGGGCCCAGGCAAAAGACAGGAATGGGGCCCCTTGGATGCACATTTTTAAAGTAGTGACTTAATTGTCTAGACTGCAAAAAAAACTTTGGCAAGTGAAATCATCGTAAATCTAGTAATTATATGTAACATTTCACAATTTGGGTTTGGTGTAAGAATATAATAAGAATATTATATAACTATTTTCTAGACATTTGTCTTAAGTAATTGTATTAAGTGAAATTACCTGACTAAATTGGCAGATCATTTCACTTGTTTTAAGAAATATGCTTGAAGTATCTGCCAATATAATGAGATAATTTGGGCACAGGAAAGTAATGTAGTAAGGAGTAAGGTAGAAGTAAAGTAATAAGTGCTAAGATTATTTTTCCAGGAAGTAATATGCAACGAATCCAGTGAAATTTTGAGAAAATAGTAACTTGATTTCTTAGACTACTCTAGATAGTCTAAGAAATCAAGTTTAGATTTGGCAAGTTACCCCAACACTGGAGCTCAGAAAATGGCTACAATAACAAAGAACAGCTATTTGTAAAATGTGTTATATATATACACACACACAATCAAATATATATATATTACCTCAATAACCTAGGGGCTTCTCACGCCACACATAGTTCTTGCTGACAATGAAGCTTCCCTGTTTTGTCTCTCTGTAAGCCACTTATCTACCTGGCCTGGACAACAATGTGGCAAACTCACTAACAAGGAATGGACCCCCGGGGAGTGGTGGCTCAGACCAGACATCTTTGTTTGGGTCAGATATGCCTTGATTTTGCTTAATTTCTTTGCCAGCAGACTTGAACCAGCGCCCTCTGTGGTTTTCCCTGTCAAATCTGCCCAGCTCACTGTGGCTGGATATGTTGGCACAATTGGTCAGACCAGATGCTTCTTTTTTTTCTTCTGAAATTCAGAGCTGCCACCACCATGTTCTGTTGGTTACTCTGTGATGTTCTGCCATGCCATCATTTCCATTGCTGCTGTTCGTTATAAGGGGTTTCATCCTGACAGCTCCCAGCAAGGAGGGACCTCTGGTCTCAGCTGGGGGACAGCAACCTCAAATAGAAGCTCATCTGCAGCAAGATTGTAAAAAATGGTTCATAATTCTAGCTAATGATCTCAATAGATAGCATGTAATGTTGATGCTAGCTCCTCAGTGAACAACTAGTGAACTCTAGTTCCTCTCGAACCGATTCTTAGAGACTTCCATCTTAGGGAGTTTTCCTTTAAAAGGTGCACTGTAATGATAGAAAGCAATCCAGGAAAGAGAGTGAGGAAGAGAATAATGTAGAAATATAAAGTGCTTCAATGACCTCAGTGCATCAGTGGAGCGGTAGATAATGTACTCAGGGTGACCACAGTTACTGAGGTTCTGCAACACCACCAGCAAATAAACCTTACTCAGAGAGTCCTGGAACACAAAACAGCCCACATTTGGCAAACTGTAGGAGCTTGAGTTTGTTGGTCCTTGACAGCAGAGGCCTCCTTCTGGCAACCCCTTCAAACAACTTGTGGTTATGTAGAGGGTGTTTGATTC